TGTGGCAGCCACACAAATTTCTCTCAATTGTGATGTATTTTGATGTTCTTGCAAAGGAAGCTCCTTGACCAGGCAGTTTTGCCCTATCTTTTGGTCTTGGCATGCCCTACCCAAGGCTTCTTGCCGGAAAGACAGGAACACTCACTATTACTTGCTCACACTCAGGCTTTACGCTCTGTTATGCCTTTAGCAGCTGTTGCATGCTGTTTAGGCTTGCCACTGCAGCAATTCGTCTTTCAATACGTAGCAGTCCTAATGTCAGTGTTATAATCTGCGGCACAAATGCTTGCGTTGATTGCATTGCCAAACTCATCAGGGACCCATCAAAATTAAGCTCCGTCGTACATTTGTTGTTGGCTTTGAGAAACTCACGCAAGATTGTTTGTGTATATTTGTGTCATAGATTGTACATTTTTTGTGCACTTTTTCAGTGGCGTAGATTGTAGTTGCAAGCTGCATACTTTTGCTTTCAGAAACTGGATTATACGATTATACGCAAAAAAATGTACAATTTATGCCAAAAATATAAGTTGTGTTTTAGGAAACTGGCTGCAAGTGTTCTACAGTTCCTCATCTATTTTGGACAAAGACAGCTTCCATACACATTTAACGTGGATAAGACATTAGCATTGGCCTTATTCCTCGGAGAAAAATTTGGAGAATAGAGACACAGTTGGGTTGATATTTCAGCAAGATGTCTATCCAAGCAATAGCAGAAGTGGTATTTAAGAATTGCAATAAGAAGTGCTATTGTTTCGATAGAGGCATGTTGCCGAAATATCGACCCATATATCTGTTAATCAAAATTTAACACATATTGTAGGCAAATTTAAATCTTCAACAACAAATCGTGTCCTACAAGCATAGCCTCTTGAGTTGTATTACCATGAACCCCCGTTGGGACTTTGTTTTAAAGGGAGCGCACGGTGAAATGCGGTGTTATAACCAAAAAAACTGCGGAAATTGCGAGAAAACCCGCAATTTGATAGTCCTGCGGGTTGTAAAAGTGTGGGATCACACTTATTTGACAGCGTGAATAAGGCGCTTGAGGTGGGTGTGATGACTGGTGGTGTGTGCCAGTAGTTTGTATTTATCTTGATGTGATGGTGAATGTGCGTGCGAGGTTTGTGCTTCTGAGAGAGGACATTGTTTTGGTATTCTTCAAATCCCAATAAAATGTGCTATATTGATACCGGCTTCTAAGGCTTGTGTTTGAGCATGACAAGGTAGTGATGTCGGCAAACTGAAAGAAACACCAGCACCCATGCTGCAGGAGTGTTCAAAGGCAATTTGCTTTTGCATTATGATCTTGCTAACATTTTAAATCTGTTAAGGTATTACAACATGTAACTAATCCATTGCACACCATCGTCTTAGCCAATCATCTAGGTAGTGCGGACAAGCCAGCACCGCTCATAAATGCACATGGTTGGTACAAGCTCGCGTGATGCTTCTTCCTAAACAAATCTTGTATGCAGGCAAGCGGCAAGGACACGTGCCCGGATTTGAGTCTAATTTACAGAACAGCATTTTCTACGGGATGAGTATGATATCCTGGACCACAGGCATGTTTTTCGGGCTGTGTTTTCCCGCTGCTCACGACGTTCCGGGAGACTGATATGGTGTACGTGCATCTACCTACGTACTCGTGGTTTACATTCTTATGCCATTGAAAAATAAATGAAGAAAAAAATGAGCTGCGTTATACCTACAGCTCATGATGTCACGTGACACGAGTTATGGTCTTCGTTTCCTATCACTAGGGAACTTGATAATGGCGGAAGACCACCTTTCCCAGCAGGCTTCCTCAAGAAACTTTTGCAAGAAGGTCAAAGTAATTCATGAGCAAACCGCATTCACACATGTCCACACTAAGTTGCTAATGGGGCCGGAAAAAGGCATGAACTGACTCAACGTTTTCGGCTACCGGCGTTATCTGTCTAACAAACATCCCAAAATAGGGTCCATCGGTGCAACCACTGGCGGACACCATTTTGACACGATTTACACGGCAATGGTTTCTCCTAGACTTGAAACGCGCGTTCCGTGAGTGTTATGACACCCTCACCATTAGACACTGAGAACGTATGTAGAGCATTAACGTTATGACAAAGGATGGGAAGATTCGACTCCAATATGATTATGAGCTCCCGAATTATGAGACGTTCCTCCGTCTTTGTTACGGGTGCCAACGCCGGACCTTGTATTACATTTGCAGCCCACCTCTTCAATTTACCTTCCGACCGTCTGCCATGAAGTCTCCAATTTCAATGCGTGACGTTGCGATGCGTTTGGAAACGACCGCAGGGTGTTCTAAATTATTCCTGAACAAAATGCCTTGTAGGTGGGTCCACTTCAAGTCAATAGCATGGCCATTGATGGGCATAATCGTAGTTTTTACCTTTTGGCCGTCAGCCTTACACACCCATTTCAAACGTGCCAATTTACTTTCAATCGATGCAACCATCAGCACATCATTTTAAGAAAGCGTTTGGTATGAAGAGACCGTGCTGGCGGCCGAAGCATAAAGAGGTGTGTTTAAGCCTCTCACCGGCCCTATTGGTAGCTCTTGTTGTATTGAGTGCTTGTTGACTACCGACACCCACTTCTCTGAGCATTGTTAAATTGATTTCAACACTATTCAATATTTCAGCATCATTCAACTCTGAATTAATTATTTCTGGCCTTGATATATGCTTACAACTACCCATGACATTATGAAAGGTGCATGGATGTTAATGTACCCATTGGTATAGTAGAAGCATGTAGCATATATATATATATATATATATATATATATATATATATATATATATATATATGTATATATATATATATATATATATATATATATATAATATACATATCTACATATATAGGTATATCTCTGGGTAGTGTTATTTTTGACGACAGACAGACGAATGTCGCAGAACTTGCACGCTTGCTTCGCTGTGCGTTGGTGCGATAAGGGTTGGAGTTTTGTAGGTGATCGGTGAAAATGGTGTTCTCATGTTGTTCTGGACGTAACACGGACTAAACGCCTCTGTATGCCCCATCACACATCACGCTAATGATCTTGGCAATGTTGCTGTTGCTGTCTTTATGAACAGGAAAGGCCAGACAAGACTTAACTTGATGGCTGTTGCTGGCCCACGCCGTCAATTCCTGGCGAGTGCAGCACACGCCACCGGGAGAGTTCATGACGCCCGCGTGTTGCGTACCTCAGGTCTCCCGGAGTTGTGAGTATATACAACAAAAGTCAGTACATACGGACAGCTATAAATATTCTATACGTTAGTAATGATCGCAGCGAAGACGCCACCCCATGCATTCAAAATATGCCGTGTCTTTTTGTATGTCACCTGTGTGTGTCATGCGTTCTGGGGGAACATTTCTGCATATTCGTATCCGTATCGGATGCGCCAACCGCTATGTATTGCTAATACCTAAACATGGTCCGCACGTGACTTAAAAAAACGATGACATCGTTTCCGTTTTGCGAACGGCCAACCGATGCCAGATGGGCTGCTTCTGGCGGACATCTCCTACCCCTGCCTTCCCCGGTTGATGTTACACCAGTCGCTTCAGCTTCACCGGCAGCATACGCCGAGAGAGGTATTCTTTGGATTTTGATATCCATGTGGCATGCTGTGTTTCGGTTTGCTGCTTTGCACGCTGGCAATCGGAACAATCACGTAATAAAACCGCCAGCGCAAGCATTCTCCCGATCGTCACCTGTTTTGTCTGCAACTCGTCAGAATCGTGGCCACGTCACTGCCACTGCCTGTAAATGCTTTCTAAGTTTACTAATGAGAGCAGCAACGAAGCATCGTCGTTATTCACGTATGTTCGTTCATAGGTCTTAGTCTCTTAAGCAAACGCGTCTACATTATAACCGGTATTGTGCAATCGAAGTGCAAATGCCATTGTCTCTCC